ACAAGAAACTGGCCCGTTGGAACCAACACCTGGAAGAAGAAACCGAAATGCTATAAACATGTCATAATTCAGTTTCTTATTTTCCGGGTTTTCAGATAAGAATTTTATACATCTTGGCACTATTTGTTGTAAGAATGAAAAACCCTTTCAGTTATTCAGCTAGAAAAAGAACAGGTTAGGATCGTTTTGTGTCAGCAATGATGAGAGGAAAAAGATCATTCATGCCTTCAGTAATGATACCAACATTGATACTGCAGTTTCCATCTTCAACATCTTTTCCGCTGCTACATTATAAGGTACCACCTTATACAAAAGTAGAGGAAACACATAGGAAAAAAAAAATAGGTGTATAGAGGAAATTAATCAGGAAATGAGTTGCATAGAGATCTTATGAACACACCCGGTCATGGGATTAATGATTATCGTGATCGTAATCATGATTTAACACTGCTTTAATTAACAATCGGATAATAAGCTTAACTTTGCAGCAACGAGATTAAATAATTAGCGAATAATTAATAAAGAATCTATTTCATATCTTCACTCCGAAAAGATTCTTATTTTGCTTCTAAAATCTGATATGCTGAAAATAGATACCGGGTGTAACAGCAAAATTGTCCAAATGGTGTTACAGAATAATTGTCCATCTCCCAAAATGTTTAATATTTAAAAATCAATTTAATTAAGTTTCTTTTAACAAGTTTTCAAATAAGACGTTTAGCCTACTAGACGCCATTTGTTGTAAGAATCACTGAAAAACCCTTTGAGTTATTCAGCTAGAAAAAGAACAGATTAGAATCGTTCTGTGTCAGCCCCAATGTCAAATCAGCAATGGTGAGAGGAAAAAGATCATTCAGGCCTTCAGTAATGGTACCAACATTCACATTCTGGCTTCCATCTTCAAAGTCCATCCAAGAACCATCAAGAGAACGGGGGATAAGTTTAAAAAAGAGGGAACAGTAGAGAGGAAAACTGGATCAAGATGTCACAACAGCAAGAGGGATCATCATTTCAACTTCGAGCTAAAGTGATTAATTAGAAAAGATTCAACTCAATTCATAAGACGTTTGGCACGTGAGAGAGAAGTTTCAGCTATGACAGTCCAAAAACCATTGAAAAAAGAACTGAAAATGAAATTGTACGGCAAACCTCTCAGGCACCTTGCTACTCAGGGCAGAAACTTAGAAGGATAGAAATGGCGAAGATCATCTTGAATAACTTGGAAAATCATCCTGAAATATATATATATATATATATATATATATATATATATATATATATATATATATATATATTTTTGAACTTTATTTCAATCCTTCACGAACTTACTATTCTTAGCTACGATTAATTAATGATGAACATGTTATTTTTGTTTATGGTCGATTTCATCACGATTTTTCTGTTAAGCTTGGAGAGTAATTATACATTGATATTGCTCAAAGTAGAACCCAGTAGTGTTATAAAAACCTCGGAGAATTCCAGTAAAATATCATTAATCATTTCTTAGAACGGTTCAGAGCTTAATCTAACAAATAGACAATTTTGTTTTACACGATTTGAACAATTTTGCTGTTACACCCTGTACATGTAATGTTTTTAGTTGAATTTTTTTAACTATAGCATTTCCTTGTATATAGATAATAAAAAAGAAACAAGAAAGGAGGCCTAGATGTAGTGAATTCGAATTTTAACTGAAACAACTCCCTGGGTTCATGTCCCGTGTAGATAAATGGGGTATCGATTCTTCATTTTCCTAATGGATACTATATCCTTTAGTGGTATTGCTTATAAGACCAGGACATTGGAAGACCAATGAATTTACATTATTTGACTGTTGTAGTGTGACTGCATTTTCCATCCTTTGAATGTGGTACCGAAGGCGCACTAGATTAACGAAAGATGCCTTTTAAAATGTCGGCAAAGTATTAACCCTAGAAAAGTAACCATCAATTAAACTTACACCACTACTAACTATAATAATAAACCCGATTTTGAAAATATCAACAAAAAAATAATTAAATATAAATGTTTATTTGAAATATTTTACATGCAGTCACTTAAAACTTTGTACTTTGAGTTAACATTAATAGGAACTGAAAAACATATTATTTAGGTAAGAAAATCAGGTACTGATTGTAATTAAAAATAGGAAATTTGCGCTGGGTACTATATCCCCATGGTTAGTGTTCTAGGGTTAAGAAACAAGAACATTTCATTGGAAGCAAAGAAAAGAATACTAAACTTCTATGTGATAACTGTACGGCAGTATACGGCAGTGAAAGCTGGACACACCACAAATGAAGAAGAGACTTGAGTTAACAGAAAGTTACTTCTAGAGAAGGATGCTAAGAATTCCATGGACTGGACATGCGAGCAACAACGAAGTTTTAGAGAAAATGGAAACAAAAATATCATTCATACTTCGAATTAGAAAGAAATAGTTGAAATTTCTAGGAAAGTCGGTTTGGAAAATATGACACCCACAGGACATATTGAAGGGTAAAAGTACAGAGTGATATAATGCATAACCTATCTAATAAGCTTGTGTAAATGGTTGGCACATCAGGGATTAGGAGATAAATTTAAAAAAGGCATATTTACTAAAGGCTACAAAGGTCAGGAAGTTGTGGAGAGGTATGATCGCTCAAGTCATGAATGGACAGGGCACATAGAAGTTTTATCTGTTTTTATTAGAAAAATGCAGGGCATATTTTTTGGGATAAGCAGTGCATTGATCGACTGAGTTTGCAAGAAAATGAGCAGATATTTATGCAAAGATAACGCCCCGGAATTATACTACGCAATAGATACATATTTTTTAATAAACAGCTTTGCAAAAATGCCACCATATTTCACGGCTTTCAAGTTGGAATCATATATGATTCTAATCTCTCAGCGACGATGGAAGGCTAGTCCTGCGGATTCTAACTGCTGCGGCACATTTCTAATAGAACAAAAGAGGAATTATTGGTAGAAACCAACGTCGGTTTGGGAATGGGCAGCTTCAGCACGCTCTGAGACTGCTGTATGTCACATCCTGCCAGTGTTGAGAGATGGGTAAATATCTGACCAGCTCACCTTTAACCGGCATTCGGGATCTGAACCGTAGTGTAGTATCTGCTCGTCCTGAGTAAGACGATGAACTACATCTGCGTCCTGGGTAGGACGATGAATTACATCCGCGTCCTGGGTAGGGCGATGAACTGCATCCGCGTCCTGAGTAAAACGAAGAACCGCATCTGCGTCCTGGGTAGGACGATGAACTCCATCTACGTCCTAGGTAGGACGATGAACTGCATCCGCGTCCTGAGTAAAACGAAGAACTGCATCCGCGTCCTGGGTAGGACGATGAACTACATCCGACGGCGGGGTCTCTGGTCGGGAAGTTTTGGGGACCTCTTGGTTGCTGCTGTTCCCGGGTCCGCCCTGACCCAGAGTGGTGGCACATGTTGGCCTACCGGCTGCGAGTAGATGGCTGACCTCCAAACTGTAGTCAAAACTTGTAAAAATAGGTTTTATTATCATCAATATATTTTTGTAAAGAATTATTACCAGCAATTAATTTTTGAAGGAAAAATTATTATCAGCAGTACACTATTAGCAGTAATACTTTTTTGGAAAATATATCAGCAATATATTTATGAAAAATAATTATTACCAGCAATATATTTTTGGAAAAAAATATTGCTAGCAATAAAAATATTGTCGGCAATAACTAACCCATTTAGGTTGATATTACGTAAAACAAACCAAACCAAACCTGTAGTAACTGCCATCGGGCGGATAAACTAAATAATATCTTTCAGTTGTGTTTGTGTCTCCAGACAGAACACAAAAAATACATGAGGGATGCCTTGTCCCAGGAATTCTAACCTTTTAGCAGCACCTCCCTCATTTCACCAAAGAAGAAGGTTCAATTGATTATAAACACCAGCACGACGTTGGTTGCAGGAACCGTGCAATTTTTGTACTTGGCACATGCGAACGTGGTTGGGCTCCCTACTTTAAACCCCCTTGTGCGATATCTCCCCACCTTCGGGGGAGGGGCGTATAAATAACAAGTGTTGTATCTGTTATTCTCTTCTCTGTCGTGTTTCTGTCTTCTGGCAGTACATGGTTCTCTGTTGAGTGTTACCTAGTCCCGGGTCTTCCTCATTGCCCTAAGTTTAATGTCGATGAATACCAAAGACATTGTCACAGGGGCGCCGGGACTGTGTATTTTTTACCTTTGGCCTGTATTTATACGCATATACACTTCATGTAAATTTGACCTTGTCTCACATCCTGCTAAGGTGGATAGTCAGGTATATTCCAACAAGTTAACTTTAGTATCTGTCATAAGGACACATGACACAGAGGATAAAGGCGTTAGTTAGATCAAGTGACAAAACCCAAAGAGTTGTGAGTTCAATACACGGTTAAGGCACTGGAGAACTTGGAGAGGGGAATTAACAAGAGATGACATCCATTAAGCATGGCACGTGGAACTAGAACAGTCTACTCCAGTGAGTGAAATAAAGGGTTCAGTTCTACATTCCAACCACCTGAAGAAGGCCGGAGCGTACAGCAGCCGAAACGTTGTAATAAATATGTCGACAAAGATGAGGATAACAGTCTGAATAATGTAAGAAGTTAACTTTACTACTAGCTTTGGCTGAATCTGTTATTTCGCACGGCGAAGACCAGAGCTACACAATCTTCCTTTCTCTTATGTTTGATTTTGTCGTACAAAGCAAAACTGAAGGGATGAAAGTAGAAAACATTACTCATAAATATTTTTAAAAAAAATTTTGTTCAACGTTCTACTTGTAAATTCTGTTGACCAGAAGGGATGAAAATATGTGGTTTTAGCGGAGCAGGTTTCATTGTTACAACGATAAAATAATGGACAGAGAGGTTGCGTAGCACACTTGCAGACACCCAGCGTTTTGAAAAGATTGTTTCAAAGTCAGTGGAAATTATTTCCAGCGTTATTTTTGTTGTATTGATATCAGACATTATCAGAATAATGCAGAGACCCTGGTTGAGATAAGCAGCCTATTGCTGGGCCGAGTGTATGCGTCCAGATAATGGGGAGATAACTCGGTAAAGATAACGCGCCGATAGTCACCTTGCGCGAAAATGCTGCTATCGTTGACATCGCTGTCCTTGTAGACTACTTCTAGCCGTGAGATGAGAGAAATCTACGAAAAATCTGCGTTAGGAAGGAAATCTAAAGATTTTTTTTATTGTTATTAAAGATAAAAACTTAATTAAATAAAAAGTGGATGAAGAAGGAAGGAGAATTGAATGATGAAGGAAACATATATATATATATATATATATATATATATATATATATATATATATATATATATATAAAAAAATTAGAATAAAAAGGAAAGGAAAAGAAACAGAAAGAATGAAAAAAATATTACACCGAAAAAGGAATAAAATCGATAATAACAAGATAAAAAGAAAGTATTAAAAATAAAGAAGAAAAGCAAAAGGAAGAAAGAAAGGAGAAGATGGAATGAAAAAGAAAAAATAGAAAATGGAACAAGAAAGAAAGAAAGAAAGAAAGAAAGAAAGAAAGAAAGAAAGAAAGAAATAATGAAACGAGAAAAGAAGCAAAAGAAAATGGAACGAGAAAGAAAATAAAAAGAGAGAGAAAATGGAATAAGAAAGAAAGAATGAAAGAAGTAAAAATAGAATGAGAAAGAAAGAAAGAAAGAAAGAAAGAAGGAAAAAAATGGAATAAAAAAGAAAGAATAGGAAATGGAACAAGAAGAAAGAAAGAAAGAAAGATCAAATGGAACGAGAAAGAAAGAAGAGAAAATGAAATGAGAAAAGAAAAAGAAAATGGAACGAGAAAGAAAATAAAGAAAGAAAGAAAGAAAGAAAGAAAGAAGAGAAAATTGAGAAAGAAAGAAAGAAAGAAAGAAAGAAAGAAGAGAAATACCATGAGAAAGAAAAGGAAAAAGTAAGTGTGTCAAATAGAAAGAAATAAGTTGGTGAAAGAAACGAAATAAAAGGAAGTGTTTCACATGGAAAGAAAGAAAGAAATGAATTATGACAGACCAAATGATAAGAAAAACGACAAAACCATCCAAATATAATCCGAATAGAATGGCAAAACCACAAAAAAAATGTCATCAAATATCAAGAATTGAACATTTACGAACGGAGAGAAAAATAGAATGAAATGTTCAAAGAATTGTTTAATTAAATACATGGAAAATAAATAAATAAACTAGGTAAAAAAATTAAGAAATCAATATCCGGGTATTTTGGAAGACGGATAAAGAATATATATAATTTTTTAAATCAGGATTACGAAATGTCTGAGCACACATACACACACGCGTACTGACAACTATACACAAATACTTTTCGTAAAAAGTCATTAATATAGCAACTGCTAATCGTTGTTAATGTTCTAAAATAACAACGCTGATTTTAAAGGGAGTAAGCCCCCCCCCCTCTACATGCTTGGTGCTATTCAATCATCAAAAGCTTCAGTTATCTCTCGCTTTAGTATTTGATCGTCAGACAAATATGTTAAAAAATATGTTACTGGTGGATTCTTGCATGTTGTATATATACACACACACACACACATACATACATATATATATATATATATATATATATATATATATATATATATATATATATGTACGTGTGTGCCTGTGTTTCATATATATATATATATATATATATGTACGTGTGTTCAGGTGTTTCATATATATATATATATATATATATATAAATATATTGTAGCCTCTGTTTGTCCGTTCGTTATCGATCTCATCCTAGGATTTTAGAGATAGACATCCCATAACCATTTATATTCTGAAACTACATAACCCATGGTACTTGAATAGATAAATTTCATTTGGACCAAAGGGAATCCCCGCCGGGGTGGGGCACAAACTCTCCACTGATATTTATCTCTTTGATATAAATTAAATTTAAATTTGATCAAGGCAATGACTCCTAGGGTAATTTTTTTTAGTATATTTCATTTTGATCAAAGTGGGGTCCCTGGGAGGGGTCCCCCCCATTACCCCACTGAATTTTTTTTCCCTTTGATTTAAATTAAATTTACATTCCAGCAAGGCAATGACTCCTAGGGTACTTGGATAAGTATATTTCATTTTGATCAAAGGGGGTTCCCTTGGAGGATGCACCACCCCCATGACCCCACTAAATTTTTTCCCTTTGATTTAAACTAAATTTAAATTTGAACAAGGGAATGATTCCTATCCAAAATATAGAAGGAGAAAGCCAGAACATGGAGGTCACGTCGGCATGATCAAAATGATACAATATGAACGTTAAGTTGTGAAAGAAATCACCAATCAGTGGTTAGTGCCTTACAATATATATTTGTTGCGACAATTCAACTGATGGAGGTCACGTCGGCAAGATCATTGAGTAATATTGAAATGCATCATTTTTCTCCACAAATTATAACAATGATTTAAAATCAATCATTATTTCTTACAAAAAAATGTTTGACACATAGCAACGCGCGGGTAATTCGTATATATATATATATATATATATATATATATATATATATATATATATATATATATATATATATATAATAATAACAAAAAATACTAAAGAACTTTTGATTATTTACCTAACGAGTTCTTTTCCTATTTTCTATATATTTTTCACACACACACACACACATATATATATATATATATATATATATATATATAGTTGGATGTTAGCTCTATCACTGATATTGACCGCTTTCCAATAAGTACCACGCATATATAATATATAGATAAATTATATATGAAAATTGTATATATATATATATATACAAATTTTACACACACACACACACACACACACACACACACACATATATATATATATATATATATATATATATATATATATATATATATATATATATGCATATTACTACAATTCAGTCCACGTAAACTCTTTTTTGATCTGCCATTTTTTCCGTTTCGGTCACTTTCTGTGTGACAGACTATAGATAGTGAAGAGAAAGAAAGAAGCTTATGGTCTTTGGAGGTAGACACCCATAACCATATGTATTCTGAAACTACCCCGGGTATTTGGATAAGTATATTTTATTTTGATCAAAGGAGGTCACCGGAGAGCACAAAACCCCCAAATTCATTTTTTTCTCTTTGATTTAAATTAAATTTGATCAAGGGAATGACTCCTATCGAAAATATAGAAGGAAGCCAGAAAATGGAAGTCACATCAACACGATCATTGAGTAATATTGAAAGACATCATTTTTCTCCCCAAATTATGACAATGGTTTAAAATCAATCATGATTTACTTACAAAGAAATGTGTGACACGTAGGAAGGCGCTAGTTGATCAATAAATGCTAACCGTAATATGTTCTGTTCGATTATATGGAAATATTCGGCTGTCTTTCGCAGAATACTCAATCATAGTGTCAACTGAAATAAAATGGTTCTATTGAAACAATTTTTCAGAAAAATCGATTTCTTAAGTCAACTAAATCTATTTGCACCTTGATGTATTGATGGAGACATCCTTTCTAATACCTTATTCTGCCTACGGCTACATGACGTTAAAATACCAGTTCTCGTATGGTCACCGAAGTTAAGCAACGTTGATCCTGGTCAGCCCCTAAATAGGTAACTGCTTGGGAATGCCAAGTGCTGTAAGTATAAATTTTTAGGTGGTGCAATGAATAACGGTTCGTAATTGTCAATCGTTGAGCTGGGTTTCGATTCCAGTTGGGTTCGTTATATTCACTTACGCGCAAATAGCCTTGGGAAAGGTATGAATCCAACTCTTCTCCCCCACCAATGGGCTAATTAATAAGATTTGTATCACTATTTGTCGAAAAAACCTTACAATATAATAATAATATTTTCTGGCTTTAAATAACCTGCAAAGAGTTGATAAACAGTTGAAAACAATTAATTGTTAATCCTTTGTTCGAAGTAGTGTGAAACGTCAGCATTATTTACATTACTCGGACCGTTATCCTCATCTTCATTGCCAGATTCATAAAGTTTCGGCTGTTGTACGCTCCGGCCTTCTTCAGATGATTATATCTCTGAGATGAGGTATTATGATTACTTTCATTATTTACATTACTCGGACCGTTATCCTCATCTCCATTGCCATATTCGCAACGCTTCGGTTGTTGTGCGCTCTGGCCTTCTTCAGCTGATTGGATCTCTGAGGTATTATGATTATTATTAGCATTATTTACATTACTCTGACCGTTATCCTCATTTTCATCGACATATTCACAACGTTTCGGCTGTTGTACGCTTCTACAAGCGACAAGAATTTCGAACCGAATCCTTTATTTCGTCCACTGAGGTAGATTGTTCTAGTTCACGTGCCATGCCTCTTCCCGATGTATCAGTTATTTCGCCTTAGCTCAACTCTTCAAGTTCTGTTTCACCATTGCTGTGGTCTGGTATTGAACTCACAACTCTGAATAATGTAAATAATGCAAGTAATCATAACATCTCTTCTCAGATGTATAGAGAGTCAACATCTTGATATGGCATTATTTTCTCTTTGATTTATATTCGCAATCCATTTTAGTTGTTGCGGCTGTTAAAAGTCCTCAAGTAATTTGCTTTCTGTTATTTCGTAGGGTGGTTTAGTTTGGTTTGGTTGTTGTTTTACGGCATATCAACCTCAATGGGTTATTTAATGCCGACAACATTTTTAGGATAGATTCGTATGAATAGAATATGTATTCTTTGGTTTAGATTGGTTTGGTTTATTTTGTTTTACGGCATATCAACCTCAATGGGTTATTTAATGCTGACAAAAAATTTTATTGCTGGTAATATTTTGTCTTGTCAAAAATCTGTTTCTCCTTCAAAATTGTATTGCTAGTAATAATTTTTTTTTTTTTTTTTTTGCTGGTAATAGTTAACTATTAGCCGACAGCTGGGACCCTAACAGGTGCTACCACCCCGGGTGAGGGTGGACCTGGGAACACCAGCAATTACGAGGTGGTTCCACGCTCCTCAAAACCTTTTGATCAGAGGCCTTGCTGCTGGATGTAGTTTAAAGTCTTACCCAGGACGAGTAGGGTGCTTTGTTTGTGATTTTACGGTGCCAGGAATTGGTTGATTGATTTGTTTGTTGAACGGCTTCAAGAGTCATTTGATATGGGAATTTAATTTTCTCGGGAGCCTTGAAGTAATAAAAGTAAACAAACCCGACTCCCATTAAGGGTGGCTCTCGGGTACATTAAAAGATACGCACTAATCGAAAACGCATTAATTGAATAATATAACTTATATGTAATGATGCCATTTGTACCTCAAATTTTAATCTCATTCACAATTAATTTCTAATTTGTGCATTTTTTAATCCAAATATTGGCACATACCATAAAAATGCTATGAGTTAATGTTTATTAATCCGATTTTTTTATGAAAAAATTATTGAGAATGGTTTGCTGCATGGTATTCTTCTGTTCTTCATATAATTGTCGGTATGGAGAAATTGCCACGTCTTATTTTCCAAACATATAATCATTAGTATTTTAACCGGAAAATTTTACTTACAATTTTTGCATAGTAAACGCCTACATCTTTTATATTTCAATAGTTTTAATAAATTCAAATCTGTGCATCTAATTAAATCGACAATTTTTTTACCAGAAAATCAGAAATTTCCTTTTAAAACCTTAAAAAAAAAACATGAAAATAAATCAAAATATTCAAAATTTTTTAATAGAAACAAATATTCAAATATGCATTTTTATTATCGGCTTATATTATAAAATTTATAATCTTTATAGCCGTCCATTTTTAACATGACTGTAATAACTTAGATAATAAGTTAATAATAGTTAACCATTTTACATTTTCAAATTTTAGAATTTTTTTTAATTAAGCGTCTACTACAAAAAAACAATTTTCAATGATTATGGTTCGACTGAAGACC